TATATATATATATATATAAAACGAATTTCGTACATATATACATATATTTGTATATACAGGGTGTCTGGAAATAATCACCAAATATTTCATAGGCAGATAGAGTGTACTAAACTGAATCGAAAAATCCTCTACCATTTCGTAAGTTTCCCCAATAGTTAACGAGATATTAATTCTTAAAGATAGCCGAATACTACTGCGAAGTGTATACGCCTACCGGCGCGCGGGCTATAGGGAACGGAGATAGCCTAGCAAGCGTGCCGTCCGAGCTATGGAGGCTTGCGGCGGTGTGCGCGGCGCGGGACGCTTGCCAGCCAATCCCCAACTCCCAAGGCCCGCGCGCCAAGCAATTGATAGGCATATACATTTCGCAGTAGTAGGCCGGGCGAGCGCGCATATTCGGCTATCTTTAAGGATTAATATCTCATTAACTATTGGGGAAATTTACAAAATGGTAGAGGATTTTTCAACTCAGTTTAATCCGCTCTACCTGCTCATGAAATATTTGGCGATTATTTCCAGACACCCTATATTTGTGTGTGTGTGTGTGTGTGTGTGTGTGTGTGTGTGTGTGTGTGTGTGTGTGTGTGTGTGTGTACACATGTACGAAGTTCGTTGTATTTAAAAATATCACAGTTTAATTCATTAATTCAACTAATTTAAAAAAATGGAAGCAAGAAATACGCATGAATAAAATGGCTATAAAATATAAACATATCTATATTTTAATTCAAACATTTTATAAATTAGAATGTTTTCTTTATATACATGTATTTGTATTCTATTACACACAACATTTATGTATTATTTTTATTCATATACTTTTATCCATATAAATATATGTATTAATTCTTTTCAGTATTACCATGAACGACAGTGCAGTATGTGTCATTCTGTACCGCCGGAGATCAGCATCTGTTTATTATGTGGCACTATTGTCTGCCTCAAACAAAACTGTTGTAGACAGATGAATGTGTTCGAAGCTACTCAGGTGAGCATAAAATTTACATATGCTCGATAAAATATTATTCACGAATATCAAACTGTAAATATTTTTTCACATTTTTATACTCTTAGCATTCAATTGACTGTGGCGGTGGGACTGGCATCTACCTCGTAGTGACTTCGACTTACATTATCGTGATACGCGGTCGACGAGCGTGTTTATGGGGATCTTTGTATCTCGACGACTTTGAAGAAGAAGATAGAGATCTAAAGTATGATTTATTGTAATATAGAATAAAAGTATATATGAATAATGTGTGATTAAACATTAAATATTTGTTATTCTAATTTTTAATATGTTGAAACTTAGGCTATATTTTATTTAAATATTTGAATTCTTTCATAATTACAAGTTAATTTTTTTTAAATTATGACTTTTAATATTATATTTTACTAATTATACAACTTTTAATACTATTATTTAATATTCTATTGTTTGATATTATAAATAATCTTGTAGACGTGGCAAGCCCTTGTACCTCAGCCAGGACAGATATCAACTTTTGGAGCAACAATGGCTGGCTCACAGATTCGATCATACGAAGAGAACATGGGTATGGCATCGCGACGCTCTGTGACCCATCACGATGTTGTCGAGAGTCGCTCGTCGCACCTAATCTCAGAATTGAAGAAGATTCCTTTTTTTCCTTCCTTTCTCTCTCTCTCTATCTATCTATCTATCTATCTATCTATCTATCTATCTCTATCTCTATCTCACTCCCACAATTTATTCTCACACAAAATGCCTCGCCCTTTCGCAGCAATGCCCGTGCTTTAGAAACTAAAGGAGATAGATCGTCCTCGACGGATATTATATATTTATTATGTAATCGTGAGTAAGTAGTAGACATAAATAATGAATGAAAGTATTAAGAAAAAGAACGCTCGTCTGGAGGGAGAATAGATTTTGTTCATATAGTTGCGCATAACTTGAATAATACGTACTAGATCTGTAGAAATTGTGTATGCTCTCAGAATGAACACCTGTACATTTTAAGTACACCTGTATATATTTAAGTATATATACACAGAACTGTTTCCATATTTTAATCTTTCTGTATAATATTGTATTGTCTCCAAAATTAATGGTTACTTAAAAGGAAAAGTCCGAATTGAAGTTATACATTTTTCTTTTAAATTATACACCTGCGTAGAAAAAATGAAGTAATTTTGATCCTAGATATTTTTGTGCGATAACTAGCAATCGGATTGTTATACAGAAAAATGAAAACAAGAGATCCTGTATATACACACACACACACACACACACACACACACATACACACACATATATATATATATATATAATATATGCATGTAAGCATATATAAATTGCATTATAACAAAAAAGGAGTACTTATCTAGTATGTAGTATTTGTATTTTTTAGAAGATGATATATAAATGATAATAATCGGAAAGAGAGAGAGGAGAGAGATGAGAAAAAATTGTGTTGCTTTGAGAAAAATCTATTTATTTTGAAAAAAGAAGTAATTTCCAATTTGTTCTGCTTCGCCATGATGCTTTATGCTGATTCTACAATGAATCGATAGTCGGAAATCTTAAATCTCTTAATCAGTCTTAATCAGTCTCATTCTCACCTAAATAGGTGATTTATGATCTTTCGCATGAGTTATTCATTATACGTTGTTTAATTCGACAATGAGGAGGAATAAAATCGAATTTGGTTAGTTTTAAGAAAATCGGTAGTCTTAGTCATACAAATTAGCTGTTGCCAATTTCATCGATAAAATTTAGACTACCGACTCATTATAGAATAAACATTATAGATATTTATAAAACAAATACAAATTTTTAATTTTTTTCATACGGCGAAATTATGTAAAATGAAAAACAGAAAGTGCATATATTGAGAGCTTTAAATCGATCAGAACACGGTGTAAATGTGAATGTCATATATATATA